TTGGCTTTGCCATCGCTGTGTGAATGTGTGTGAAAGGGTGAATGTACGTGTATGTATGTATGTATGCACGTAGTGTAACAGCGCTTTGAGTGGTCAGAAGACTAGAAAGGCGCTATACAAGTACAGGTCCATTTACCATTTAAAGTTGAGTGAGCTAGAGAGCGAATAAAAAAAAGGGAGCAGTGTTAACAAGAACAAAGCAGTGAATCAAAGAAATAGGATGCAACAAAACTATACAGCTGATTCTGAACAAATCATCCACCACTGTGACAGCAAGAGGAGGTGAAATAACAAGTGAATTAGCCATGCTCTTCCAATCAGCAAGAGATAAATACCAGAAAACCTGGCTGTAATTTCCTAAATTCCTTGGCAAGGAGGAATGATTATATGGATTATATAAGACATTAAGTGTTCTATAGACAACTTGTAAATTAAGGTTAACCTGTTAATGCAATCGGCTGTGAAATTCATGCAATCAGGTCTGGGTCTCCTGACTGGGTTCGGGTTCAGCATTTCTCAGTTCTGCATGGGTCCCAGCTTTCAAATAACAGACTGGGCCGGCTCTGGTTTGAGTAGTACATTTCAGGGTTGGCACAAATCTTTGGACCTGTAAAGACCTCTATTCCCCACCTGACACCCTACACGCTGCCCAAAGTTGGATGCCCACAAACATCCTGAAAGCAATAGGAAAATACAGGCAGAGGGCAGGGTCTCTGCAGATGCAGACACTTCTATGAGTTGTAACTGATGATTAAAAGGGATTATCTTTATAAGTCTATACATTGTTTTCTCTTTCTGCCTTAAAAGAAAAAAAAAGCCACATGTACTAAAAGGGGTGTAAGGGTTTTGTGGTTGTGCTTTCTTCGAGCATAGATACATGACTTGCTTCAAAGGCCGGTATATTTATTGCTTACACTGGGAGAGTGCAGTGCGTATGAGCTCACTAAACTCAAGAACCACCCATGAAAATTGATTTGCCTTCACACTTTTGCTGTGTTACACACAGCAAAGACCAAGGTTTTGATTAGACCAGAGGCAGCCAGATCTCAGCTCTCAGATTGTCTACCAGGACTTAGCTGCACCCTGCCTACTGCATTTCAATTTGGGAATGTAGTTTGTAGAGACTTAAACATTAGTATGCTGATGAGACGTTTCCACAGGCCACTGGACATCTGCAGACACTGCTTTACTGGTTTAATTGGTTTGTCATAGAAATCTTTCATCCACACATCAGCCATTCCTTACATGCTTTCAATGCTATGCAGTCCACTTAATAAAACACATGCACTCATTGGCTGCTGTAGTCAATTGTGATTGGTGGAGATTACCTCTGCTCCGGTCATTAATCTGTCATTTGTCTGTGAAACAACCTGTTGCTGTCTCTTCCTCTAGCAGTGCAAAAATCACTTAATGCAGCTTCAGAACAATATCAATCTAATGTTGGCTGTCAGACAGTAGATTACATTTAACTGATTTTATTTAGATAAGAGAGCATATTACATGCTTTTTAGAGGATATATTATGCTTGTTGGGGGTTTATCTGTGCTTTAGTGTTATTTAGATTTTTGTGCATATAAAAGGTCTGAAAAGTGACAAAGTCCAAAGTGCACACAAAAGAACACAACACTGCTCCTGCACTGCCTGACATGCCTCGTTTGTATTCAGTCTTCTCTTCCATTACTATATTGCATCACATTATAACACGTACCACTGAAACCTAGTGAATCTACACAGTGGGCTGTGCCTGCTAAGGCTTATGAGAGCTGACCAGTCCGAGCAGGGAGGGGAGGGGGGGTTAGGTAGAGGCAGACAATGGCATGTATGAGAAAAATAACATGTTTTATCAACACTGAAGCATGTAAACCTATCATAGTAAACCAGAAAATGAGCATAATATGACCTCTTTAATCTTCTACAAGCTAAAGGACACACTCTCCCCACTCTGCATCCACTGACGTCAGTGACCACTGAGGTGACATGGAAGCTGTTAATCATCTGTTTTATTGTGTAACAGAAACAAGCACTGGCTTTGGTCAGATATGAGCAACACTCCACTCTGTGCTGCCATGCAGAGGTGATCTAGCTTTGTGTGTTTCTGTACATTGTTAGTGAGAACTGATATGAGCCTTCAGAATCAGGACATTTTTACAAATTGAGGTCATCTTGAATGGCTCCCAAAGTCAGGGTTAAGGGACAGGGAAATGAAGGTAGTCAATGAAGTGTCCTCATGTATTACAGTGGTACAAGAATGTGTGTGTGCGTACATATATGAATCATTTCTGCTCTTTCTTTCTCTATTGCTTATGTACATCTTCATGTCGAAGTATCTTATAAAGAACCCAGTAGAATATATTGAAGAAGAGAAAGGCCAGAGGGAAGCCGGCCCTCGACACAGTGTCAATCTTTTTGGCCCTGTCGATGAATAACTTCCTCATCTCTTCGGTGCTTTTACCCCCTCCACCTGCTGTTGCAGGTGGATTCTGGGTAGTGTTTGCTGTGGCTCCTGGTGTGTTCAGTACAGTGACAGTATTGTTGGCGCTGGCCTTTGAGTCCTTGCTGTTGCTGGGAGTGGAGGTCACAGCAGCTGTGGAGGTTAGTCTGCTCTCATGTACTTCCCCTTCCTGTTTGGGAAACAAGGAGGAGGAGGAGGAAGAGGAGGAGGAGGAGGAGGAGAAGGAGGGGTTACAGGTCAGATAATAGTGCTCATTTATTATTCTATTCACAGACACGTGCATCTGCATGTTCTGCTGAAGAGGCCTTGAGCACAGCACTGAATGAGGTTTAAAAAAAATGTATATACTGCTTTATTTATAAGCAATATTGGCCTTGGATTAGTTAGGGCAGAAATGTAAAATACCATACTTTATGTGTTCAGAAACTATATATACTGGTGGTTTCATAGAAGTTTACAGATTTGTCTTCTAATTATGGTTCAGTATTTTCAAAAGCTCCTGTGCAAACACCCCCAAACATTAAGTCATTAAACTGGAATTTCCAGTTGACCATTTATTCATATATTTGATCATTTTACAATCAACAACACGTCCTGCGCAAATTGAAAATTCTAAATGTATTATTTCATGAAACAATTAATTGGTTCATAACTGGCCATAATGTAACATTTCTTAAAGGACAATTCCGGCGCA